CACTCATTTTTGAGCAAACAATTAAAATTCACTTTAGTAAAACACCTTCTAAAAAATATGAGACTAATATTCATATTATTTACATAAAGTTAATTAAAGCCACCAACAAGAAACTTCATTTTGTGTTGATTCTGGGCTCCTTGTGGCACAAAAGCGGTAGTGTTTTCTACCACCTTGCTTTTCATTCATTTCAAGGGGAATCCGACTGAATCTGAGCCAGCAAGCATTAAGAATAACTATATTGAAATAGCCAATCTTCTCATTGATGGTGTTATCTGTTTATGTAGGTCATACAGAGGCATCAATGTTAAACTGGGACTGTTTCATAACCAGTTCAAAACTCCTTGTAAGATTTTAAGATTATGAAGACAAATATTTATCTTCGAACCAAAATAGCTAGGTGTTCTAGAGAATGTAATTTTTTTCAGATTCTGAGGAATGATCTTCAGGTCACCCTTCATTCAAAATAATGTTTTTTTAGCTCCTCACGATGCAGTTATTTAATTACCCAGTGGACCAATTTACTCTTACAATGAAAAGCACACCAACACTGTTTTAATGCTCAACTTTAATTTTATTTGTCATCAGAGCTCAATTACATCTGGTTTCAAAGCGTAGAATAAAGAATACATCTGCCCTACAGTCTTTTTCCAAACAGTTGTTTTATACCATCGTCCTCTATAACCTTTCTTTTTAGTTATTCTTTTCTTTCTCTTTTCTCATAAACAGAACACTCCACGACTTTCTACAGAAGCAGATTAGAGGCGGAGATATTCTGACTTTTAATGTGAGTCAGGCTCCATACCCATAATGCAGCCCGACAGTGTCTTAGACCCTCACCCTCACCCCCTCTAGGTAAACTCACGTGTTTCAAGCTCCATAACCCAGTTCAGCTTTCAGTTGTAAATGTGTAGTCTTCGAGCTAAAGCTGAGGTAACTGATCATGACTTATCGAGTTCTTTTCTCCAACTTGACAAAGCTCATCTAGAGACACAGAAGACATTATACAACATATTCCACACGGCTGACTAGCACTTGTTACTATAATTTAACTTATAAGGGGTGGTTTCCTTTAGCCAGAAAAGAAAGGCTGGCTGCTGGAGTCTCTTTTACTAAACAGGATTCATTGTTGCACCTGAAACTGTTGGAACCTCGCCTCAGATCCAAAATGGATCATAAATCCCCAAGCAAACCTTTTTACCATTCATAGGTTATTCCCAGTCTCAATTGAAAGAAAGTTAAACTAATTTCCATTCATGACACGTTAGACATTCTCCTTCTGACTTCCATCTGTCCGTTCACAGGTAGAAAGCTGCGGCCCCCGAGGGCTCCACCACATCTGGGGCAAATGCACCGATTAGGCCTTCATCAGTGTTTTAGTATGTGGGCTGTGTTAGTGTTATGTGTGTGTGTGTGTGTCATGTAAGGGCGACACAAGCAGTTCTTCTGCTGTGATATCGCCTTAAATTCACAAAACCACCTTTGGGTGGCAGGACCACCACTCCTCCTGCCTCACGCCACCTCCATCTCTCTGACATCAGAAGAGAACTGCAAAAACAAGTTGATCTGTCACTGGCAGAAACAAAATACAGCCACAAACTGCCCTATAAAAGATGATGACTTTAACGTAATATCTAATGAACCCCATTAATAATTTAGTTATTAAGTAAAATTAAAACTTTAACCAAAAATTTAGACATTCTCTTTAAATTATTAATAAGAGGAAACAACCTTTTTTTCTCTCTCGATAACGGGTTGATTATATAATTATCTCGGGATAACAAAGCTAATTTCCTTAAGATAACAAAATAATTAACTAGCAATCTCGAGATAACGTCATTTTAAAAAGAATTGCATACTGCTGTACACCTGCCACAGGAGCGTAGGTATAAAATGTTCAGGCTCATAGCAACTAATCTACTTTCAATAGGGAGTATATTGTCCTTCAAACATTAGTCATAAATAGTATTTATTACTGTATACTCACAGAGACGTTATTGAAGCCAGCTGCCATTGGATGGTTTTGCACTGACGAAATAGTCAAACGGTCTTGCTGAAATGGACACATGACTAATTATTAATCAAAGACAGTAAAAAAGATCATGTTGCTAGCTACATTAAAGCTAAAATCAGGTGCTACTCCTTAAAACTTTTAAATTGGGACCGGGATGGAGGTGAGATTTGGGATTTTGGGCTATGTATATAAAATTGAAGACAACATTGCTACATCACCAAAAGTCTGATGGATCTCAGCAGTTAACTTTGTGAGTACAATTTTACTTGTTGGCCACCTAACTCACGGACAAAAGATCCAAGGTGGAACCTTTAACCTTTAATTTAGAGGTTAAAGGTTCCAAAGGCACAAATTTAACGGGGTGTTTTACAAGTGTTGTCAAAAGTCAAATGAACTCACAGTGAGGTCTGGTTCATATGTTTCATTCGTGAAACCACCACCAGCTGAGGAAGATGATGATGATGGACCGCTCACAGCCTGTCGGGTTCGCAGGTAGTAAATCAGCAGGGCGATCAATGTGCCGATCAGCAGCAGGACCACAATCACGGACGCTGCAATCCCTCCTGCGTTGTCATGGTTAGGTGAGGCTACAGGTAAAAATGACAGATTTCTCTGGGTTGAATGTTGTTGAAAACATTTTGTATAATGTCAGTTTGCAACGCAACAAAATATATAACATAGGTCTAGCGTTTTTAGACATTTTAATGTTTAAATGTTACTTCTTACAGCTTGAGCAAACTGCTGGCAGTTAAGAAAATTATTAACATTTTCAAAAGCATATCATACATTTTTAGCTTTATAAGTTTGCAAGATGTACTTTAAATTGTAGTGAAGTAAATTGACAATTATTGAAAAATCACCTGCCTGGAAAGAAAAAAAACACAATGTGTCATTTTTGCACTTTGTTTTTTGTACAGATGAAACAAACATATTTATGCTAAGCTAGGCTAACCTGCAACTGGCTGTAGCTTCTTATAGCTTACAGTAGTAACAATGTTCTCATCTTGTTCTCTCATCTTCTCATCTTGTCCAGCTATTACTGGCATTTTTCTGAGAAAATCAGTAAAAAACTGAAAAACAGGCATCACACATATGCGGTTAGCAGTGAATGAGCTGAAGAACATGCAAAACAACTGGGACATCTTACTTGTCAGTCCATCTGTGATTTTGTTAGAGCAGCTGATTCCGACCGTGTACTCAATGTCATCCAGAGCGACAACGCCGGATGTGCCTTTGATTCCTTCGAACACAATCTGGTAACAACAAAAATGACAGCAGAGATAGTCGTCTGTCTCATTAAAGAAACTTGAAGTGCTTACATACAGAACACTACATAGGGTTACAGTTAAAGTTAAATTCTATTTATATGATATATTATATGTATATTAGTATATACAGAGAGAGTCTGACCTGGTATTCCTCAGTTGATGTGATGTTGACATCAAAACGTTTCCACGGTCCTCCCAGTTCACTCACAACCAGCAGTTGATTAAGATGACCTTTAGACAGCTTGCACACATTCAGCCTGCTGTCCGCTGCATACATAAACAATGAGATTAACGTGTGGACACAGCAACTTGAGAGAGATATATCAGGCCGAACCAGGGAACGATAGGACATTGATCCTTACATGAGTGTGGCTTGTAGGCCCAGAATTTCAGGCAGGTGCCTTTGGTCGGGGGCAGGTGAGAGCTCAGCAACTGAGCGTTAAGATTGGCTGCCGTCCGGTTGCTGCTTGGAAGGAACAGGAAGTGACCTGGCAAAAAGGACAGGAAAGACTATTTTACACTTCAGTACATTTTGGGATCATGTTGGGATCAAAAAACACACACACACATAAATAAAATAAGTTGTGCCTAAAACTGATCAAGTTTTTCTCGCCGAATTCAGTGTTCTGTGATCTTTTTCCACAATAACCACAGTCACAGTTGCTCTGTCCCTGTCTATTTCTGGTTTACCTCTCTCTGTGCCCAGAGTGTGGTCTTCAGGTGGGGTGGGATAGTGCCTCTCTGCCTCCTTACTCGTCAGCTCCCAGTCCAGTTTGTCCACTTTGACGTTTTGAGTGTTGCTCCAGCTGCACATCCCTTTCTCAAAACTACACTTAGAACCTGAGATATTTAGACAGAGCAAAAATTGATAAAATTGTATTGGTACAGTTTTTATTTTTGATAGAAGTCTGTCAATGACGTTTTGTTCAGTCTTTTAATTTGATCCAGGTTGGAAGATTGTAACAGGACAGCCAAAATCCAAGCCACAATGGCTGAAGGTGTGTAGGTAAAGTTCCCAATGGATGAACAATGTATCCTACTATAATAATGCAACTCAATAGACTTCAAAGCCCACACATCCACTTTGAAACACAGGCTTTTCTGTTATGAATGTGTAGTGTCCAAGCCCAAGCCGACATAGTCAGGGTTATTTTTTCTGAATATCCCTCCAGTGCCTTTTTGGGCTGAACAGCGCTCACTGTGTTAAGTAAATTGAATATGAAGTTTACTATCTGGGAGTTCCCTTTTAAAGAGCTCAAAGTTTTTGGATGTAATATTGCCATTGTTACTGGAATCTAACTAAGCTGAATAAAATCAAAAAAGGAGACCTCAGAGGTGGTCTAAAATCGTACTGTACGTTTTCTATTAACCTGCACACATAGTCTGTTGTGTGTTCTTCCTTAATTTTACTGAGACTGATACAAACCTTGATCTCCACACGGGTGAGCTGAAAGGAAGATGTCATCAATTGCAATGTGAGTGTCTTTGCCTCCGGCTCCGACTGCCTCAAACTCCAACTGCAGAGCAGAATAAAGCGCAGCATCGCTTCAGTTTAATCGACAAACACAACATCCTATGACATGGCATCCTATAAAGTTTCTGGGTCAAATTGCTGCTGGAGAGATAGAAAGTTTAACATGCTGCTTTTCTTTAAAGCTGCAGTAGGCAGTTTAGGCTCTGATTGGTTGTTTTCGTCCAGGCCTGGTAGATTCTTGCAAAAGTCAGGATACAGTGAAAGTTTAATGCAAAATGAAAAAAAAAAAAATCATGAAAGTTATCTACTGCAGCTTTAAAGACTACAGTCTGGCTGTGGATTTTAAATGCATTTAAAGAGGTATCTTTGAATTTAAATGAAACAGAAACCGTACATGGGACAAGAGGGCAGCCTGTGGGACAGCATATGATTGTATTATAATTTTAATTAATCACTTCATAAATTCTTTTTAATGCATAAAATAAATAATTGTGTTCTGACCGCTTGAAAAGTCTATTAATTGTTCCAGCAGCTCCCTTCAGCCTCCACACTGTACCTGCCATTCCACAAGGTCAATCGAGATGTTGCCGTTGCCATGGCGCCAGACATCTCCTTGGTTTAGACTATCAGAGAAGATCTTCACCCTTTCTCCCTTCACCGGCTTCACATACACGATCAGGGAACCTGGAGAAGCAGATACAGTTATACTATGTTTGTTTGTTTGGGTTACTTGTTTGCGTGTGTGAAGGTGTCTCACCAGGATTCTCTCCTCCAATGTGATACCAGAAATGGACGCACTCGGTCTTGGCAATTCCTTTGCGAACAGGGGAGGCGAGGACTGCCGCATCACCAAAAGGAAGGATGTCTGCTCCGGTGTTAACCATCATGTAGAAACCTAGGCACGCAACCAAGCAGAGGAAGATCATAATTTGCTGTCTATCTTCTGCAATGCATATAAAAAAATGTCCTTTAATGGGATTTTCTCTCACCCATTTCAGTCTCCAAGGTGTGGTCAGTTTTTGGTCCAGTTGTTGTCGTGGTATGCCAGCGGCGGTGGAGCCAGCGAGCTTTACCAAAGCTGCTGTACCCACACTGCTGGCCTTCAAAAGAACACATTCTTGGCACGCTGCACGGACGGTCGACGAACGACACATCGTCAATGGCCACGCGCCCGTCAAAACCAGAGCGGACTGCTTCAAACATCAGCTGGTGGTGGGTCAAAGGTCGGAAGGGGTGAATCAGACAGGAAGGAAGATAATGTTATTATATTCATTTTGCCATTATCTGTTTTTGACTACTGGGATACAAAGACCATCCAGAAGTACTTCCTTAAAGCTGCAGTGATATTTAGTTTTACCACAAGGAGGCAGAAATTTCCCAAACCACCCAATTAAACCCTCTTTCACTGTGACATTAAATGCCTTCTGAGACATTGTTTGTTCATTTCAGGCTGACTGCAGTTGTTGCATACCTTAAAGGGTGTGAGCTGCTGTGACACCGGGCACTGAGCTTCGTGCCACATGTTGCCATGACCTCCACTGCGGGTCCAGAGGACAATTTCATAACCGTTGTTATCTAACAGCTTGACATTCAGAGCACCTGGATGGTATCAGTGGGTAAGGATGGAGCAGTTAGTGTGAGAAGGCAAAAGAAATTATTAAAAATTTCTATATCACGGAAGTAGGTAATATTTCATTTCAAAACCAACGTATGTGACATTTTGAGACAGTTACTCACAATTAGGATTTGAATAATTTGTATTCACAGGCTTAATAAAACAGATGCTTTATTATCATTATCTCATTCTAAACTGCTTGCCATTTACTCTCATCCTTACCTGTGTTCACCCCGTAGAGTTTGTAGAAGAAGGACAGGCAGTAAGCATTAGGACTTGGTAACTGTGTGAATGAAACTAAGCGCCCGAACGCACCGCGCAGAGAAGGACTCCACATGTCCACAGCAAGGCTTCTTCCTAGACATTAACAGAAACAAATACAGCAGTAGTATTGCCTTATCTTATACTTTATGATTTATAGTGATGCAATTAATGAGCTTTATACTGAGCTGTGCACATTTACCACAAATAGACCATCAAAGGTCTATTAAAAACACCACAATTTATTATACATTGATATTACTAGGGCAAAACTGATTCTGAGGATTTAAAATGGTCATTTTCAAACCATCATTATCTGTCATAATAATACAAGTTGCAAGGAAGTCTCAAGTCTTAGTTTTGAAAGCAAATGATTAGGTGTTAATGGGTGTAATATTTTTTTGACCAGAATCTTTCGTAAATTTAAAAGCAGAACTGAGGTTTCTTCAGCAGGATGAAACAGTATGTTTTCACTCTATGCTCCCAGGATACAGAGTGACTAGTGCCAGTATATTAATAGTTTGCAGCCTTGAGTCTTTGTTGGGACTAGAATAACATCCCGAGTGTCACATGTAAGAATCTCACCCTGATGAACATGGAAGTGACTTGAGGTTTTTGTCAGTTTGATTGTTTTCTCACAAAAAAATTATCTTAAATCAAAAAACTATGAACAATGTGAATAGAAATACTGATATATCAAAGCCTTACCTTACAGGTAGATTACGAGCAAGATGTTACACTTGTTACGTACATAACATTTAAATGAATGATGTAATGGGGAATAAGCACCTGACACTAGCAACATATAAAGACTGTTAATGCTGCTGTTTTCTACCAGTGAGGCTAAGGAAAGATGGAAGCAAAGTGTGTGTGTCTGAGATACTATCAACTAAAAATACACTGTATATCCATACCCACTGTTCTGTTTTTTAAATGAGCTTACCAATCCCGATGGTGTGGTCCATCCCATCGAGCACCGTCCAATCAAAGTTGTCACTGTTGTCCTGATACCATCCACACAGCCCCTGTTCAAAGTTACATGACAGTGCTGGCCCAAAAAAATAAAGCATTTAGTCAAAGCACTCAAACATTTCCAGGTTAAATATGAATATATGCATTATGTAGCATGGTGTGCGTATACTGTAAATAGTGATGAGAGTTACCTGTCGGAGAAGATGGAATATGGCCAGCATGACAGCTGATAAAGCGAACGTTTTTCACTTTAATCTTGGCGCATGGACAAAGTTTGAAAGCATGAGCCTCAAACACAAGCTGGTAAAGATAAAAGCACTAATAAGACTTAAAATAAAGACTTTCACAAAATGTAACAGTAAAGTAAAGTAAAGTAATATAAAGTAATGTTTAGTTCCACAAGATGCAACTGTTTTATTTCAACCAACTGGTGCAATGCATCACCAGACCTTTTGTTGTTTTCTCTTATTTAATGTGACCTTTATATTTTCCTAGCATCGCAGAAAAAATTTGTAAGGAGAAATGTTGCCTCTTTTTTTTCTTTTGCAGCCACTGTTTGTGAAACTGATTACAGAATAGTTTTGGTACCAGCAGGACAGAAGTATTTAAAGCAGTAGTTAAAGATCCCTCCAGACATTTATACAAATAGTCTGCTTGAAACAATAATGTGTGTCTGTGGGTTTTTTTTTTTTTTTCGGAACACAAAATATAATTTCCACAATTTTCCACATAAAGTTTCCCTGCTGGTAAAAGAGTAAAAGTGTAAAAGTGATGTTACCAACTGCCATCTTTGTTTGGCTAAAGGATAAAAATTGCACCTAGTGGAACAGATCAAAAATGTACTTTACTGTCCAGATAAAATGTGTTTTGTCCTGGCAGAAAAGAAGGTCAAGACTTTGGGGATGTATCAAATGCCTTCTGAATGTTTTTAGAGAAATTTTACCTCTATTAATTGAGGCATATACAGTATATCGGTGAGTCAAATCTCAAATCAAATCAAATTTCAGTCTCTACATTATCTATAGATTTCAGCCCTGAAAAAAAGCTGACCTGGAAGCGATTTTCTCTGGCTCCAATAGTCAAGCTGATGTTTTGCCATGCCTCCTCCCCCATTCCTGTCTTTCCACTGAACTCCCACAGTTTAGGCCGAATGCCCAGCAAGCTGTCGATCACCCTGATGGACAGCTCACCTGCAGCGGAGAGACGTAGCAGAGTTGTAGTAAAAGATCTGAGTCGTGCATCCTGGGGAAAAAAACACAAGTTAATTTAGTTACCAATGTGATCTGGATTCCCAGTTAGTGCAAAATCAAAGCTGAGGGTGCAGGCTGGGCCGGAGGGGCCCAGGAGGGGGGTCCGTGTCTGGGCTTCGGTCAGCTGCTGGCCTGGGGCCTCGGCTACATACAGGTACTCCTCTACAAAATATAAAGGAAACAAATTGCAAAATATTTTGTTATTTCTTTCACCACTGAATATTAGTGAATGCTATAGCTGAGTGATGTGATGACACAAAGTATTTGTACCTTTGGATGTAGCATTTTTGTAGAGCACCCAACCTTGACTCCCAATGCTGGTGTCAGTCCAGCCTGAGCTGCCCTTAGTGTAAGAGAAATCCCCTGCACAAAGGATTCATGGACACTCAAATCTCACTCAAGACACACAGTTTTGGTTTTTAAAAACAATTATTTGCTGCCTGTCATATTAGGTGCCTCTTTCGGCAGGACAACATTGATTGTAGTAATAATTCACCTAAGCATCTTCTGATCCACCACCTCTTTGGATAAGGTTTGGTTAAGTTAAAGGCAGAATGAGTAGGATTTGTCGGTCACAGGTCAATGTTCGTTTCCTCTTGGATGTGTGCTTACGATCTGGCACCTGTTCGCTAAGAGTTATTGGCTGGAAGCTAAACACCCACTGACGGACCAGAAATGACCCCAAAACAGCAAAATAAGACAATACAGGAAGAGGGCAGGGTCTCTGCTGATACAGATACTGCCACATACTTCTAGTGGGTCATAAGAAATGATTGAAAGGGATTATGTTTTTTTGAGACTTTACATAGTTTATTGTTTTTTTTCAGAAACAACCATCATCCATCATCTGGTCACAAGACATGGCTAGTGAGGAGAACGATAAGCTTTGTTTTTTAATGTTTGACCAAACAACCAATGCTGAATGCCTGCTCCTCCTTGGGTCATTTTTTTTAGGCCACAGCCTTGTAAACCTTTTTTAAAAAAACAAATCTGCTCTTCTTACATCCCAAACTTCCCAACATTTTAGAAATATAATAACAGCATTTTGGTCTGGTGCCCCCTGAAATGATCTAAGCAGGATCTAAGCAGATTCACTTATGCTTCCTGTGACTCTGTTAAAAATCATAATTACTTTTATTTGGACCTTTGCAGCCTTGTTGACAGTGAAACTTGAGGAATTAGTATCAGTAGACTCACCACATTTGGATTCATCCTTTGCTTCTGCACAGTCACGATGAAAATCGCACATCTTGTCCGGTGTAGTACATGGGTGTTCAGGAGGTTTAGGGAATTTTGCCCAGGTATTATTTACTGTTAAAGAGGAGGATGTGAAATGGCAGATTTATCATACCACAGAGGGTATGTACTCTCATTCTTTGCAGATGTGGAACCATTTTTTAATTCAATTAATTTTACCAGATGATGGGCGGCATTCAGGAGACAATATAATGCTGTCGACACCGATACCTCCATATGCAAAGTTCCTGATTGCTGCCATTATCAAAATCTGTAATGAGGGAGGAAAAAGGTTGGAAAGGGAATGAAGTTATGATAGCAATACAATTTCATCCAAACACCTCAGACTAAAACTCTGACCCCAATTTGTGTAGTGATCAAGGTTTGGCAAAAGTCAAACGTTTGTGCTCTCCGTTCTCAACCTTTATTATAAAAGTAAATATTTCATTTAGGAACCTAATTCCCACGAACACACAGTTTACAGACACATCAGCAAAACAATGAATTGCATAACAGGATTACCTGAGATGTGTTTGAGGTCATTTAAAAACAGCGTTACACCATTACATAACGCCAGAAAGACAGTAGGTAGCGCGGTATAAAATAGTGGAAACTGTATAGAAAATATAACATTTCTGTTTCATGTTTTTCATGTAATAACCTGAGGAAGGTCTTTGTTGCAAAGTGTAAAAACTGTAATACTCGGCACCTGGCACTTCCCCCATTTTACATTTAAGGCTGTGCATAAAGACAAGTAGATGGGGCTGATTTCTGTCACCCTGGCTGATTACTTATGTTCCTATGCACCTGCAAATATCAATATGGCTACTGAACTCAAAACGTTCAGTGTCACTTGGACTCTACTACCAGATGCTTGTGAGAATTTACATATGTACTCTAATATTTCACCCCCTCTTCCTAACGTGAAGGGTAAGCGCAAAAAAACACCCCTATCTAGAGCCAGTGTTTGGTTTGTCTTATCTGGGCTACTGTAGAAACATGGAGATTCAACATGGAAGACTCCATGGAAGGCAACCCGCGGTATCTGTAGATAAAAGCGGCTCATTCTAAGGTAACAAAAACACAATGATTCCTATATTCAGTTGATTATATACTAATAAACACACACCTATGTTATTATATTTAATTTCTGCCAATAAATCCTCCTAAATGTTACACACTGGACCTTTAAATCCACATCTGCATTTGTGATAAAACTATAAATAAATACTGTCTAATAATTGTATTTATTTATCAACCTTCAGCATCAATATAAGATGTTACAGGACACATTGTTATTATGGATACAAACTCAGGTGAAGTACTCACTTGGAAAGTGGAATTGGTGACAATCTCCACCTCTGCCTTCACCCAAACATCGCCTAGAGCGCCACCCCTCTCCCACACAGGGTAGATGCTCTCATCTGCCACCAGCACCGTCAGACCACCTGACCTCGGCCCAAACTGGTGAGTGTACATCACCATCTACCGTGGAAAGATACAGAAAAATTATAATAATTGTCAAATTATGTTTGGAAATATCATATATTATTTCTAAATTGAAATAATTTAAACAAAATTTGAAAAGTTTCAGTAAGTCTGACTATACTAGGAACCAGCGTGGGACTCACCTTGCAAGGATGTGAACTATTGGTGGGTTCAAGGCGGGGACTTTGGAAAGCAGCCCAGTCACTACCAGTCAGACCACCATCAGGGACAGTGACATACAGGAAGTGACCTGTAATAATAATAATGAGATACTTTATTTATTATTATAATTATTAATATTTGATGTATGTAGTATTACTTTATGATTCCAAATAATTACAGTCAAAAGAGAGACCCTGAACTCATGAAACAGACCAGCTTTCATCGGAGTATGGTACCTGCTTCACTGTTGGTGGAATGATCCCTGCCTGGTCCTTTCAGAGGATCCGTGATGGAGATGTTCTCCTGATTCGTCCTGACCCATTTCAGTGAAGATAATGATGTCAGGTCCCAGTTGCACAGGTCCATCTCAAAGTCACAGACCTTGACCTCTTCGCAATAAACACACACAGTTTACATTAACTGGTGATGTATATATGGTGGTGTCAAAGGGAATCTCTCTGCTGTAAATCAGATGATTTCTCACCACAGTTCTTCTCATCAGACAGGTCACCGCAATCGTCACTGCCGTCACAGAACTGCCGCTCCTCCACGCAGCCCCCATGCTCGCACCCCTTCATGCCAACTGGACACTCTTTACCAGGAAGTGGCACTGATGATGTAATGAGAGAAAAACAACAGCACAATAATCATTATGATTGTCCTCATCATGGCACTGCAATTTCAATTGATCCAAGTTAAATGAATTTATTCTAATTAAATGCTGGTGGGACACTCCATAGAAATGCTGCACATGAATAGGATCATTCTGAAGGACTCACAGGGGAGAGCACAGTCCAGAAACTCCAGCTGGTCTATTGCCACATCTCCTCTCCTTCCCTCGGTGCGTTGCGAGCTAAGACGGATTTGGAAGGGAAGGGAAATACGGCCCAGAAAGATGGTACCCTCCCTCCAGCCACGGACGCTGGTGGCTTCAGGACGCCACACAACAGCCTCCTGAGAGCCCTGACGAAGGACAGACGCCCATAAGGGTGTGGGGCCCAGACCTGTGTGACCTACAGGTTACAGATACAGAGATTATTATTAGTAGGACCGCTGCAGAGGAAATGAAATCTCGTCACAGTGTACACAACAATAAAATCGACCAAATTAGAATTATAATTAAGCATAAATTACAAATAGGAAATGGATGGTAACCAATATACAGTATATGAAATATATATAAGAAGTAGTACAAGTACTACAAAATACCATGAAATCATGTCTTTTAACATTGTGTTTTAAGATATAAGAGACGCTGGCCAAAGCAGGCAGTTTGAATGCATGACCTGTAGTCATTAATGTTCGTTACCTGAGTCCCACAGGAAATATCTCAGGCGAAGGCGACAGGTTGGTGAAGACTGTTTAATCTCTGGGGAGATTAAAACTGCAGTGCTGAGAGTCTTCACTGCGCTCACTCCCATAAACGAACCTGTGTGATGGGAAATATATTTATGAGCTTTTATTGCTGTTAATTGATAGTGACAACTAAAGAGAGGAGAGGAAATGGGGAGGGGTGGGCACGCAGCAAAGGGCCACAGGCTGGAGTCTAACCCAATAGCCACTTGCAGCCTGGTTACATGGGGGGGGGGGGGGGGGCACAGAATTATCAACAATTCTGCCAGCATATAGATACTTTTCAGCCTCCTTTTGGCTCATAGTTTTTAACTGTAAAAACATAACGTGTGTGTGTTGTATTTACAGCAGGTTTTCCACTTCCCTTATTGGCAAAAAACACAAAAACAAAGATACCATAAAAAATGACACCATAAAACACAAACAAAATACTTAACCTACATAATTCAATCTTTTTGGCCACATTTTTTTTTTGGGGGCAGTGGAAATAAGCTGTAAACCCAACACTGACATATCACCTTTTAAGTTGATATGACAAACCTTTTAGCATGCATTTGCCTAGCTTCACAAGCAGCAGTTACGGCGCAACATTAGGAGTTATGTTTTTGTTCATTCACCTTTTAGCTCCTTTTTGGTCTGCACCAACTCCTGAGGGAAATATCTGGCTCTTTAGCTACTAAATGTTCTACCAGCTAGACGCCAACCTCGTCTTTGTGCCATTCGGTGCTCAGCACATTTTCTGGGCTCTACTATTAGATACTGCATAATTTAAAAGGTGCTTAAAACTTTCACACCTATGGCATTTACAACCTGACGAGAAAAAGACAAACCCAAAAAAAAGGGATTAGTGACTGTGTGTTAAACTATACCTGTAGCTGTCCCAGTGGTGTAGTCAGAGGATGGCCCGCTGTCGGGCAGCGTGTCCCCTCTCTGACGATGCTCCCAGCTGTACTCTGCTGCATTGATAGACTGGTCAGTCCATCCACACATTCCTGCGTCCTCAAGGTCACACTCAAACGTCTTTCCTCTGTAGCCTTGAAAGGTGTAAAATAAATAATAGTTAACTTTTGAATGTACATCAGATCAGGTGTCAACCTCTGTAGATACAATGCCCGCTCTGTAAAAACTTACCACAGTCTTGCTCATCGCTGCAGTCAGAACAGTCACACACAAAATCACATTTCTTATCAGGACTCTGACACACCTGAGCCCAAGAACCAGCCACTGTAGAATAAGATAAAATATCAAAGTTAACTATTACAGAATAAACTGATAACTGAAACATACAGTGAGAGATTCAACTAATTTTTTTCGGAAATTATTTTATCCAAATGTTTGGTTTTGTCCATTTTTGTTCTGGCCAGTGGTAACAACATTATTCAAGTCCTTTATTTAAGAAAAAGTTGAAATATTAATACATTTTACATAACTAAAAAGCAAATATAAGCAATAACCTAGATTATGTCTTAAAAAAAATACATGTATATAGGCCATATATATTGGGGGCTGCTGTGGCTTAGGAGGTAGAGTGCACGAATCAGATGGTCCGATCCCCAGCTCCCCAGTTCGATCCCCAGTTCCTCACACTGAACCCCATTGATGCTGTGTGCTGTGCCATCGGTGCACAAATGTGTGAATATGTGTGAAACGGTTAATGTGACCTGAAGCACATTAAGTAGTTGGAAGACTAGAAAGACATTATGTAAGTGCAGTGCATTTACCATTTGACATAAATATCCAGCCCAGAGATTTAGACACACCTTTTATCAGATCCATCCATGATTTCATCCATGTTTTTGTTCATTTTGATCTCCTGTAGCTCAAAGCAATTCTCTGAACAGTCCGTATTAAATTCACAATCAAAATAAAACAAACATCAAGCGTCGTCTCCTGATGTAGACCAAGCGATAAGGTTGAAAGCTCTGGAACGAGCGAAGAAGTGGACCTTTAATGGAGACATGTCAACTGTCTGACTGTTTCCAAGGTCAAAAATGAACTGTCAGCTTAACTCGTGTGTTTTGAATTAAAGTTCTAATTGTGAAAAGTAACAAGTAACTCCAGACGTCAGATAAATGTAGTAGTGGAGTAGAAAGTACAACATTTTTAATTTAAAATCAAGTGGACGAAAGTATAGTCTACCTAAAAGATCAGAACAGTACAAGTAATTTCCCTCCTTGCCTCTGTTTGAAGGCTCTATAAAATCTCACAGATGACTCAACCCCAAACTCTCTTATCAGGACTCATTACTGTCAAAGATTTATGGCACAACTAATGCCAACAGGCTCAAAGGCCAGAGAGAAGTAATCGGGTTAGCACCAGCAAAATGTCATCCGTCCATCCAAAGGTCTCCGATTAAGACTCAGTGTTTCAGTGATACGCCAGCTGGAAATCACACACAACACAGTAGGAACATGAAGCACTACATAGTGAGAAAATATTCAGATCACTCACGCACACACACACACACACACAAAAATATAACTGTGAATACTGAATTATCAAGCGATGATCTTGTATTTCTAAGGCTGTTCAGGTCATTTTATGACCCAGCACCCGAGCAAGACAAACACAGACTTTATTAGCTGGATTATTCACTTTAATTCATGAATGTATCATTATTGTTTTTTCTATTTGACATACATATGATACTGCAAGTAAGTGTGACATTTTTACCTTTTTTATTTTCGTTTTAAAACAAAATAAATATGTAAACACTGTAAGAACACAATCTAAAATGTAACGTGTGAACTTGAAATAAGGTATATATGTCCTACTGTATAAAAAAGATTTGTTATTAGTAGTGAGGATGAGACAGGTTGAGAGAAAATGTCTCAACTGGTTTTATCATTTGTATGGAAAAAACAATTAAAAACTATCTTTATCTTTACGTATTAACAGTGTAAATGAAGGTTACAAAACCACATTAAGGCGCCAAAATGAATCATAGACAGTGCAACATAACTGGGGTTAAAATTGATACGTGAGCAGGGCCAGAGCCAGGATTTTTGATGTAACATGCCCCTAGTCCACCAACCACAAAAAAAAATTCTGACCAGCCTCCCGGGAAAAAAAATACACTATTTTTATGGCACAGTGTTTTATGGTACACTTACATGTAGTCAAATCTAATAAATACTGAAATTATCCTATAAGAGAACCACCGTGTGTGTTTAATTTATAGAATGTAAACCATCTCCAGTTCGCCAAACCCCGCCAACATTTTCAGAAAAGATACAAAGGACCTCAGTGTGTGTGGTGGTATCTATGGCCCTGTGTTTGAGAGACTAAAGACAACAGGTGAAAGTGATCAATGCCAACAGACATTTTTTTTTAACTCTTGTGTCTTGAGCTTGAAAGTTCATTCATGACCTTAAAAACAGTAGATTCAGTTCCTTTTTTAAGCGGTTGTAAGTTCTGGAAGTGTTAAGCCTTTTTAACAGACTTTTGGAGCTTGTTAGAAACTTTTCAACACTGAGTTGTGTACTTAAAACTTCTCTATGGATGACACCATACCACAACCAGCAGCAGCAGCATTATTTCGACAGAAAAGTGTTACTAAAAACGCTTTTTGAATGGAGTCTGGCTGAATGTGCTCTTACCAAGCTGCAGAGTCAACAGCAGGATGAGGGCTGAGCTCCTCATCGTCTTTTTTTCCTCCTCCGCCTGATCGGTGTGGACACAACCTGGAGAGTCTGTGCTACTTGACTCTGATCTCTTCTCCCCTTGTAAGAGATAAAACCTGGACTTTAAATTCTCCCAGCATGCAACTGCAACAACCTGTCATAAAACAATTCCCTTGAGTTTTCCGCAGTATATAGGCTACATCCGTACATTGCACAATAACTGAAGTAGATGCAGAGCAGTTCACCCCAATTAGGAGTTGGACTTTATTTTACAAGAGCAGTTGGGGGGTAAAGTGCCTTGCTTAAGGGAACTTTTTAGTTCAGTTTTCTAGATGGTCTCATGCTACATTCATAATATGTTGGCAGTATGTGGAAAACAGGAAATGTGGAAGTTATTAAACTAAAATCAGCTATTTATACCATGATGCATGATTTTTCTGGTTTATTAAATAAGTCAGTATATATTACAGTTCATTAGCTCAATGGACTGTATTAGTGTTATTAGTTTTTATGTCAGTCATGTCTTTGCAGCCATTTTACCACTTCTGTAGTTCTTTTTGCCAAGAGGGAGGACTAGAACAGCTAGAAAGGCTTAATGTAGGCCACTCACTGCCTCCATATACCAATACCCAATGCCCTCAGCTCTACAGAGCCTTCTGGAAATTGTTTTGGTTTTTAAAGTCCGCAATTTTACCCTTTTGATTCAGTTTTATATCTCTCAACAGCATTGTTTTGTCACAGCAGAAACCCCAGATAAACTGACTGTAGGCTACCTCTCTAGCACCAGACAGACAGAGAGACAAAGTTAGTGACTAACTGCTGAAGAAAGACTATTTAAGTATGCAGGTTTAATATCTAGATGTACTGAGTCAACAGCATATCTAGCATCCTATACTTTCAGCACAGTGGTAATCTTGGAAGATCATCAGGTTTGTTTCGCTCTTATCTGCCCGCATTAAATTAAGCAACATTCATCAGCAGTTCACAGTCGGTTGGTGAGTAACATAAGCAACAGTGGAAGGAACACAGTATGCACACAACTTTAAAAGCAGATTTCTGGTAATATTTATGAATCACACATCATGACAAAACATTGAAGGTTCACGTTCCATTATATCTTAGTGATTAACTTAGGTCAAATTTAGGCTATGTGACTTTAAAACAAGTCAATGAGTGACGGTAGGTCACTCTGCAAAACTGTCACGACCAGTTATTGTGTCTATTTATTTATTTTGACTGTCTGCTATTTCTTTACTCAAATTGTCACATAGTGAGTAACCCCTCAAAAAAGGCTTGTTTCCCAATCACACTTGCTGCTATGTTAGTTTTAGTTTATTAATGTGGTATCAAAAGGCTCCTTATTGGACTGTGTGTTTAACTACAGGCTCTGCGCTCTCATGAGGTAAGTGCTAATTCAGTCCACCAGAGTGTCCCACAGAGGCTGGTCTTGGTTCAGGTCAATATCCTTCATTGTCCCAGGTCACCTCATAGTCCGGATACCGAGCCTTCAGTTTCTCAGTAGTTACTGCGTGGTTTGCTCTTCCAAATCCCTGCAATGAAAAGTTACACATCAATGTTCCATTCGAGTTCGAAACTATTTATTTTAGCTCAAATAATCAATATTTAACTCTCATTTTAATGACAATGGAAAAGGTAACCCTTGTAGTGACGAAACCATCCTCAGTTATCAGCCAACACAGCAGCAGTATAGAGCTTTTAAGCCTCTCCGCTCATAGTTTTGGTTTTATTTACTCTATATGCTGTCGTTGTTAAGATCATCTCAGGTTTTTATCCAGCAGGAGTCTCTCACCATGGAGTATCCATAGACGTGGATCTTCTTGGCCTGTGCATCATGTTTGATCCTCCCTCCTCCGATACACTCACAGTCCAGGTGGCCGCCCTTCTCCAGCTCCTCAGAAACCTTGTCATAGATATCCGCTGCAAGAGAAAGCAAATAACAAGTGAGCCATGCATGCAACACTGTGCTTTCTAATACATTTAATCTCTACATAAAATGAGTTTAACAGTGAAAAATACAGTATGCTCATCACTTGGAATTGGAATTAGGAGTCATTTGAAATGGCAGAATCTGGGATCAATAAACATATATTTCTAGAAATAACAGCTGTGCTTGTATTACAGCTTAAACACATTTGTTTGAATGGCCAACTGTCCATAAAATATGTTTATGCATCATCACAAATGGCTGCTTGTTGTGTGGACGCAGCCCTCCATCTGGTGTTATGTTCCAACTTATGTGTGGAAATGAATATATTGATTGAAACTGTTTTTAAATACTGCAGTGTGTGCGCAGTTTCCATGGAGGACACAACTTAAACAATACAGTGGAATACAATACACACTGTTATTTATATGTATGTATCAAAATTGAATGAACACACTTGTTAAATGACAATTATTTAGCTTTTTGTCTTTAACTGAATGAACTTTTTGTATTATTAAAGTCACATCACAACAGAGAACAAACTGGATGTGTATGTTTCAGTGTTGTCCAGCAGGGGGCAGCGTAGACCTGCTTATA